AATTAGGTGTTGGGTCAGCGTTGGCCCAACGTTAGCCGTCGTTTAACCAACGCTTAGCTGCGACGTCGAGCCAACTTCAATATGGTGGACAAACGTATGTCGAGCCAACGTTGGTTGCCGTTGTCGGGCCAACGTTTGGTTTGACGTTGTCGGGCCAACGTTTGGTTTGACGTTGTCGGGCCAAAGTTTGGTTTGACGTTGGCCCAATGTTTAACTAACATCTGACTGCTAACTATGACACGGCATTATTTTGTCGGTACCCAGTGGTCGTTGACAGAAATGGAAAGTTACTTAGGATATTGTTCACTATTAAGTAACTGTACTAACAACTATTAGTACATCAAAAATAAAAGAATAATCGGTCCTACTCGTAAAACAAAAACGATATTTATGGCAAATCATTAAAATCCTCTTTTTATTCAACATATTTTAACAATTTATTCTGTTGTCATTTTCCAATATATTTGATTATCTCTAGTATTTTATCGTTTAGCTATACGAGTTCGTCGGTATACAATCCAGTCGGGCTTTTTCTAAAATGCACATTGACTGATCACCATCGATGACTTAACCATAACCCTCGATTTTCCGGGTTATGACCACGTGCTTTGGTTGTGTAAACTTTAAACAAGTAAATCAACCATATGCTTTTTATTATATCCATGTGTTGGCAGTGTTATCTAACCAGCGTGTATGTATATACACCTAGTCATTGTTAGACCATTTTGATAAGCAGGTGGAAATATATCAGTTGTAGCTTGGTCAATGATTTGTTTTACTGAAAATGATTATACAGAAGATGGAGTGACATCCCTGTCATTTTGACATATTTCTAGTTTCATTTTAAATTTTTGTTCTTTACCAGGAGAACATACGGCAGATTATGAGCTAGCAGAATACTTGACAACATTGCTAGGGTTCAACGCTGAAGGCGGAAGTAGCGAGCTTCAGGAATTTGATTCCTCACAAGCTGGCGATGTCATCGACCAGAACCTGCCTCATCAGATTACAGCAGACACGTTCTCTAAGGAAGTGCTAGGATTTTCCATGTACAATGAAACACCTCAGAGTGAAATGTAACAAGATCTCTGATTGGTGCATTAGAGATATAACATCCAAAAATGAAAAATATAACAAGATCTCTGATTGGTGTATAAACGTGTTAAATAACCACAATCCAGAGTGAAATGAAACAAGACCTTTGATTGGTGCATTCAAGATTTCGGCAGTACATCCGACAATTAAATGTAGCAATATCTCTAGATGGTGGATTTAAGACTAGAACAGCCACATTCAACAGACATTGACCTATAATGAGATCTTTGATTGCTGCACAAATGTTAAACAACTACATTCTCAGACAAAATGATTTGTTTATGCGTTGAATTTCTTGTTTCATTGTGAAGGGTACAGACTCAACCATATTTTTGAAGTTTACATTAAGCAACACTTGATGTACATTCATTTCTGGAGAGAGTTTTTTTTTATTTGAGATACTTTTGTCAGAACATTTTCAAAATGTCTGTTTTGAAATGCAGATACCAAGTAGAAAAGACATTTTGTTTCGGTCAAAAAAGGTGTCATTAATTTTGTATTGTTGTTCTAATAGTAAATATGAAATGCGTTTCAATCTACAGAATTATCTGTGATAAAAATAAATAAATAATATGTTTACTTACGAAAAATGTATATATAAACATAAAATGAAGAAATTTAAGATAAATTGAATATGGTTATATTTCACATACACCTCACTTTCATAGCTTACACTCCATGTAAATATATGTAAGTATGTAAATATCAGAGCAACAAAAATGTGTAGGAAACTTGATAATTATTCGTTTTAGATTTTTTATATTGATAACACGACACGTGTGTGTGTGCTAGGTCGGGGGGTCATGGAAGGTAACTTGACACCAAGAGAAGTAACTGGTTTCTAGCTAGGAATCTGACATCCACAGGTTTTAGCTCTCCTGATACAAAGTGCTTGTGACCTTGTACATGGTGATACATCTTTATTTGATCAACTTTTTCTTTTGTCAACTTCTTTTAAAGAACCAAAAGGCCAAAGGTCAAAATATTTGGCCATTAGGGAGTGCCCTGCCCCTGTCCCCATTATATCCCTTCCAAAATTCTCCTCGCCTACAGTATTGACGTATCTTCCCTATCACAATACAGCAGATCACTGTTAGTGTATTGAGTGTTCTGTATAAGAGGTCATTCATGCAAAATAATCTCAATTTTGCATGGCTGCCGCTTAGTCACCTCATAGCATCATACAGTTCGATACATAAGGCCACTTGAATGTCCCGGGACCTGAAGTGGGTGACGCTGATTTGAGTATTACATGCTGTAGTGTTAAAGCTTATACTAGGTATTTATAAACCCCCTACTCCCTCCTCTTTTTCTTCCTAGTTATATCACACATACAAATCTGTACACATTTAGAAAAATTTGGGAAATAAAACAAGTAGAATTGCGAGTTGTTTTTTTTAATGCATAAACAATACATTTTATGCCAAAGAAAGTATATTCACATTAAACCTAATGGAAAACTAAGGTAAGGTGAGACTTATGACGCGTCACAAGTAGAATTGCGAGTTGTTTTTTTTAATGCATAAACAATACATTTTATGCCAAAGAAAGTATATTCACATTAAACCTAATGGAAAACTAAGGTAAGGTGAGACTTATGACACGTCACTTTGTGTATGTCACTTCATGTCTATTAAGTGTCTAAAACACCCATTGAAGCATTTACAGTTATGTACAGAGTACGTCCATGCAAAGTAAAAGGATACTTAAAGCTTTAAATAATTATGTAAACAATGCCAGCCTATCAGCCTTCAAAGCACTCCAGAGAAAGGTGAGATAATATAACAACTACAGGAGTCTGTCAACCTTAAACAGGCTAAACAGACGTAAAACTTTAACAACCTTAAAACAGGTTCCGCGTTATCCTTTTTACGTCATGCACATTTGGCTATAATTGTGGTAAAAGTGTGTTACATATTACGGCCTTGAATGGTCACAGAAACGAGATACACCCTCATCATATAAAATTCACACGAGATTACAAAATTTTTAAGAAATAACCCATTTCCCCATGTATTAGTGTGATCCTAGATCCTTTCGAGCGTACAGATATATGAAGAATATCGGCCTAAGAATACTGTCTTAAACATTTTTAAATTAAGTATTTCAATGTTAAAACAGCACCGCATCGAACAATTAGTGAGAGACACAGCGTTGGTAATTATTCATTATATATTGTCAAATGAAAATGAGACATTCAAAAAATAAAAATATGCCAAGCATAAAATTTGCTTTTTACTAAGGCTTTTTGCCCAATATAAAACACCTGAATTCAACAATCTTCAATATATGTATTAATCACATATCTCTGATTATGTCTCTCATTATTCTCACGAAAATATATTTACATTTTTCCTTTTCTTTAATTACAAATAACTAAAATACCAATTTCCCTATCAAATAATAATTGTCGATAATTGTCACCAGTTTCTTCTTTGAAGTACACATAGGTTTTATAGTAGCAGAATACAGTAGAAATGGCCCGACTCTGATAAACAAGGCACATGTCGAGGAAATGGAAACACAGCGGATTTACCCGACACAACACATGTATACATGTATATATATTTGTAAACTGCATTACATATACAATACATATAAAGTACTGAGAAGTGTATAAACCTCTTTTTTCTATGTATGTCACTTGTGTGAAAACCATGGTTACCACATCAAAAATTACCAAAAAATGCCAAAAATTGCTATTTTCAACCCAAAATTTGACCCCCGCAACTAGTTTTTTTTTTCCTAAGCTTTGTCTGAAATTAAAGAATACCTACCTGGTTTCAGAATGTTCTGGGTCCAAGTAAAGTGTTTCTTCTTTGAAGTACACATAGGTTTTATAGTAGCAGAATACAGTAGAAATGGCCCGACTCTGATAAACAAGGCACATGTCGAGGAAATGTAAACAAAGCGGATTTACCCTACACAACACATGTATACATGTATATATATTTGTAAACTGCATTACATTTAGAATACATATAAAGTACTGAGAAGTGTATTGAGAGACACAGCGTTGGTAATTAGTCATTATATATTGTCAAGTGAAAATGAGACATTCAAAAAATAAAAATATGACAAGCATAAAATTTTCTTTTTACTAAGGCTTTGTTCCCAATATAAAACACCTGAATTCAACAATCTTCAATATATGTATTAATCACATATCTCTGATTATGTCTCTCATTATTCTCACGAAAATATATTTACATTTTTCCTTTTCTTTAATTACAAATAACTAAAATACCAATTTCCCTATCAAATAATAATTGTCGATAATTGTCACCAGTTTCTTCTTTGAAGTACACATAGGTTTTATAGTAGCAGAATACAGTAGAAATGGCCCGACTCTGATAAACAAGGCACATGTCGAGGAAATGTAAACAAAGCGGATTTACCCTACACAACACATGTATACATGTATATATATTTGTAAACTGCATTAGATTTACAATACATATAAAGTACTGAGAAGTGGATAAACCTCTTTTTTCTATGTATGTCACTTGTGTGAAAACCATGGTTACCACATCAAAAATTACCAAAAAATGCCAAAAATTGCTGTTTTCAACCCAAAATTTGACCCCCGCAACTAGTTTTTTTTTCCTAAGCTCTGTCTGAAATTAAAGATTACCTACCTGGTTGCAGAATGTTCTGGGTCCAAGTAAAGTTTTAAAACTTGATTTTTTGCAATTTTGCGTCGTGTGCTGTTGTCAAAATTTTACCTCCTGTAAAGCTAGCTTTTCATGTGTACGCACCCTTTCGGATTATGGCCAAAATTGTATTCTCGAACCAAAAAAATCTTCTTTCTATTTTACAAATGTGAAGCTCACATAGCCCACTTCATCATGCTAATACCAATTTTAGTACAGTTTTATTTTTATATTTCTTTTACATATCATTATACAGGGGTTAGCCATTTAACAAAAATATCACCCATGGCCACAACCCTCTACTGTACACTGCTACCTATGAACATATCAGAACAAATTGTCGTTCTACCTCTGTAGTTTACCAGTATACCATACAGACACTGACGGGGGTTATATCTAGCGTAACAAGCTCATCTATTTCACAAACAAATTATTTAAATGGTTACATGAACTGTTGTCTCTTTATGATTTTAACACGGCAACTCGCAGTACCGACGACATCATTATGATAAAGTTCACATTTGATCAAGAATTGACGATCTACTGTATGAGGTTCTTGTTTATATCCAACAACCATAAAAATCTGTATTTAACGTGATTGTACCAAACTTTAATCGGGATACTGCGATGGAAAATTATGTTTTAAAATACCCACATATCAACAAAATCGACTGGGTCAGTGTTGTACATCACTTTATGGTAGTGCAACCTGTCGTCTTCGTCGTCGTCGTCGTCGTCGTCAGGTTCGTATCGCTCATATCTACATGGAACATTGCAGTAGTCCAGGGCGTCGATGTCTGTGTCACCTCGCTCTTCTCTCTGGTGCCGTCGTAGCTCGGTAATTCTACTGGCAGCTGCTCCGTTGTCAGGAAGTTGTCTACACGAGTCCTCAAAAGACATGATGGCCTGTCTTGTGTTCCCCAACAATTGGTGACATATCCCCACCAGGTTATGTAAAATGGGGTAGTGAAGTACTCCATAGACTTCATCGCTGCGTACAGTCATGAGAGCATCGAGGAGAACCCGGGCCTGGCCAATACTGTTGAGTCTATACATAGATAGCACCACGAGGAAGATAGCGTACGGTAGTGGTGGGAGGTAAATAAACTCATGATTGTCCTCGGTTGCTTGAACCTCAATGTCTAGTTCTGGTGGATACAGTGTGTTGTACTTTGCTTGAATTTTATATACAAACACAAACGAACGTTGCGCTTTCTGTAGAAGTGTGTATCTTTTACCACACATTTCCTCAAAATATTCCGAAAATTCGCCATGTTCCTCTATCAGCGCCCTCTGTTGACAGGCGGACACCACGCGGATTGCTACCTTAGAGGCTTTGTTGTAACAACCAGTATTGTAGTAAAACGTGGCCAATGATAACAGTCCGACACAGACATCTGTGGCTGCCGACAGGTGGAGTAATTGTTTCTCTCTTCTGATAAGGTTGTAGACAACTTTATTTGGTTGGATATTTTGGGTCCGTGTAAGATCTGCAATGCTGTTGCCAGAAGTGTTCGTGACAGCATTGATAGTGGCAAGCAATACTATATCAGAGTAAAGGTCACCAGAGCACTTTAAAAACGCCCCGTTTATTATTTTTAATATGGCCGCAATATCGTGGAATCCTATAGAATTGTGCTGTGTATGGATGAGTAAATCCCGATTGATTTCAGCTAAAGCCATCTGTTTATGAGTTGAAACTGGATTAACTGAACGACTTTCGTGAATGATTTGAGGTAAAGACTGAAGACTGGGGCACTGAAACAAACACTTCCACCCCATACACTGGTATTTATTCAGCACATGGAGTAGTCTCCTCCTGTTGTCCCCAGTGACGTTAGAGAGAAACATGTTGTGGGTAAGCACAAAGTAATTAGGGCAGTATCCGGTTTGTACAAATTCCAGAAGTATGGTAAAGCAGAACCAAAAACACTGTACAATGTTCTCGTCCACCCACATAGAACTTGTGGAGTGTTCTATCGCATGGAACATAATTGTCTTCATGAAATAAGAACAGAGCAAGTCCTTAATTGATTCTTCACGTTCAAGACACTCTTTGAGGAATATTTTCAGTAAAGCGTACGTTTTGAATTGTACGTGATTAAATGACATTACGAGGGATTTTTCGGCTTTTGCAAAAGAAATCCGCCATTGCATTGCATTCATACTAGAATGTTTATCACCGATTGCAACGAAGTAGCAGCCATCCCGAACGATATAATTAACCAGATCTCTAGATGGCCATCTACAATAAATGGTGCGAGACCTAAAGTCACTGAGACTATCAGGCCAAGACCGGCAATGGAAAGAAAATGCAATATCTATTTCCTTTTTATTTTTACTATTTGCCTGAAGCGATGAGCAGGGTCCGTGTTGGTAACAATTTGGCGGTAACACGTTGTTAATATACACAAGGCTGGACAGATACAATGAACCATTAACATCTGCCAATGCACTCATTACATCTTTGTCCGGATCAACGCCTTCTTTGTAAAGCCTGAGTAAAGTATAGCCAGGTCTACAACCAGTGTCATCCGTGACCAGAATCATGTGATTGACATCCCCTTCCTGTATGTCATCGTGTGGCTGAACTACCTTTACTTCATTTATTACTATCATCATGTCCATATCAGAGCTGCTAAAATTAAATCCTTCTGATTTAGAACCAGTCATTATACTGCTGCCTTTCTTAGATTTGTCACCGGCCACTTGAGCTAAATAACTCATTAAACGTCTAACACCAACTGATTCCTCACAACCTACGCTATCCATGGCATCGAGATGTTGAGACAGAAACTTGGACACTTTCCTTATTCCACCCAGTTCCATATTATGTCCGGGTATAGGTGTTTATTGTCTTGTTATTTCACTCTGAAACAGTGATAATTTATTTTGTAAAAAAAAAAAAAACTTGACTGACCTAATAGACAAGTTGAAATACAAATAATTTCATAACGTTAACTATATTTATTTAAATGATTTGTTTGACGAATTAATAACATGTATATGGGTACATGTAGATGTAACATAGCAGAGACGAGCTAGAGCAGCTATCTTAGAATGACAGTGAAAGCCGCTTGATATGATACATATCAACCGTTTCCATTGGAGATTTATTCTGCTAAAGAATCTTACTTTATTCACAAAGCCTGAAGATTCAAAAACGCCTTTTTTTCAAAAAACGTTACTATTTTGCTTACCTTAGTGGTACAGTTAAAAGTTCATATATACTTTCTGTAATGTGAACGCTCTCGTCTGTCTTCTCTGTGTGACGTGAAGATTGTCATCGTAGCGATGTGAACGCTATTGTATGGCTTCTCTGTGTGACGTAAAGGTTGTCAGTGTGGCGATGTGAACGCTCTCGTCTGGCTTCTCTGTGTGGCGTGAAGGTTGTCAGTGTAGCGATGTGAACGCTATTGTATGGCTTCTCTGTGTGACGTAAAGGTTTGCAGTGTGGCGATGTGAACGCTCTCGTCTGGCTTCTCTGTGTGACGTGAAGGTTGTCAGTGTAGCGATGTGGACGCTCTCGTCTTCCTTATCTGTGTGACGTGAAGGTTGTCAGTATGGCGATGTGAACGGTCTCCATCTGGCTTCTCTGTGTAACGTGAAGGTTGTCTGTGTTGCGATGCAGACGCTCTATGACATATGACATGTGTGGTGTGGACTTTGTTCGGTGTTACACTCTGTGGTACTCATATAATGTATAATCCGTACTATTTGTCACCAACTAAATATGGAACATCTTAGTTTAGTAGTTGTGTCTGTAAA